TGTACCAATGAGGGAGTTTTTCTTTTGCTAAAATAGATATTTTAAAAGAACTCTCTTGAAGCTAAGATATAAAATAATTACATAGTAGACACAAGAGTAAAAGTCAGTTCTGTATGACTACACTTTACATCTCTGTATTTTCAGGTGTACCTAATTCATTAACTGCTTTTGCAAACCAGATGATCTATCCATACAGCATACTTTTCACCTAGACTGGTTCTTAACTAAACAGAAAATGCTTATTTCTTTTCTTTTTCCTGGCATAAAACTTTGCCACTGTTGGTAGTCAGGGGGGACTTAGTATATTAAAACACTACAGATCTAAAATAGATAAGTCTGTTATACTTGGACTCTTGATTATAGCATTTATTCTAAAGTAATTTGATATATACATCTCACAGATAATAGTAAGAGTTAATAGAAAAATAGAACAGTAGCCTTCCAGCTCAATGCTATTACTTTAATAGTGATACATGATACAAAACTATCTTGCCAAGCTTTGAAGAACATAAAAAATGATAGTTTTTCTAATCTTCATAAACCTTTCACATTATCTAGTAACAATTTGCATGCCATTATAATTCTGAAATAATAGGTCCCAAAATCCTTCAGAAATTGGCATTAAATTTTAGAGTAAATTTAACATTTTCTTCAAATAGACCAAGTTTAAAAATAAAGACTGCTAAATAACACATTTTTAAAGATGTGTCCCACGGATGGTCTAAAAAGAACAGTAAGAAGCTGTGTTGTAATCCCAAAGGCACACAGATCTTGTGCAATCCACTAGATGCTCCTCAGCAGAAGAATGGACAATCTCCTCCCATGTGACCATGAAAACTCACTGAAGGGTCAGCTATGGATTGGTTCCAACTTCAAGGCAAACAACATCATCTGTGATGGGTAATGTTATGTATCAACTTGACTGGGCGGAAACTAAGTAATCATTTTCTGTTGTGCGCTCTGATATAAACAGCCAATCAATATAAAGGGGAATTTCCTTTGGGAGGTACTTGAAGTATATAAATAGTTCTTCTTCATTTTTTACCCTGTTCTTTTCTGGTCTGATTATTAGGACTTAAGCATGCAGAAGTCTGTGGCCTGCTGGTTCTTAAGACTTAAGCCTGCAAAAGTCTGTGGCCTGCTAGTTCTTAGGACTTAAACCTGTAGAAGTTTGTGACCGCTGCCTGACCTGTGGATTTTACATTTGCCAGTCACTACAATTCAGGAGAGGTCTCCAGCCTTGCCACCTGACCTGTTTTCCCTGCAACTACATGAGCCAGCACAGGTTTTCAGCCTGTTACCTGACCCAAGCACTTGGGATTTGAGGCTTCCACAACTGTGTAAGTCATTTTCTTGAAGTAAATTTCTGGTGGCCTAGTAGTAAGGAGCTGCGCTGCTAACACAAAGGCACACAGTTCAAATATACCAGGTGCTTCACAGAAGAAAGATGAGAAATCACCTCCAGTGATTTTTCACTGACTGAAAACCTGCTGGAGGGTCATCTATGAATCAATTATACACAACAGCACGTAACAACAACAACAACAACAACATAGCTATTGCACTTAAAAATTGGTTTTTATAGCCATTCCATTATCCCCCTCTTGTCTTTAGCTACCTTAACTGTAGACAAATGGTCTTGCAAGTCACCAAAAGCTATAGGATTAAAATAAGGGAGAGAGTGTGCACTAGGCAGCAAGACTTTAAGGAGACTGCAACAAGACTCTGGTGAGAGCAAGATCTTGGTCAGAGTGAGACCCTGGTGATGGCAGTTGAGAAACTGTGTCATTGCTGTTGAGAAACTGTGGCAGTGTAACCAGATGAGCCACAGTTAAATGTTTTGTTGTTCTTGCCAGATGATAGAAGGAAAAGCTGACTGCTGAACAGAAACTCGAGTCTGAACTAATGATGGAATTGTACCTTCTGGGAAGGAATTGGGACTTCTGGGCTAAAATCTGGACTTGCATTAGGTGATATTCTTTGCCTCCCCCACTCTCCAACTTACCTGACTCTGAGAACCACAGTCTGTGAGTTAACAATGAATAAATGAACCTCTTGGTGCTCGTGTGGCTCTAGAGGCACTATGACACTGGGCTACAGGTTCTTTATCTGCTTCTTCACTGAGGCAATGAGGAGCTGTGCTATTATGCCTTCTAGCCTTTTCAGAGAGATGTTCATAGTCCTATGCCCTATGTCTCATATTCTGCTCTTTAGACAGCTATATACACTTTACTAGTTTTTCTCCTATAGACTGTCCAGACTAAGACACTATCTCTCCAACTAGATAATAAATACTTACATGAATTTATTACTTCATCTGCTAATTATCTGACAATAATAGATTATGTGGTCACAGTAGAACATAAACTAGAGCCTAGAACAAGTGCTTTTCACATATTAGACCCTCTTAAAAATATTCATGGAATAAATAATCTGTTTATAAGTTGTCAGTTCTAAGCAAATAACAATCTGTTTGTATATTCTCTAGTGCAAACCAAAATATCTAAAGGACAATAATGTAATAAAGAATATGAGTGACAACATTGGTAAGAAGGAACATACTACTGCCCTTTACTATTTTATTCCTTAACTTTTCTCCCCTCACTACCCTAGCTGCCTCCCACAGCTCTACAGCTGAATAGGATACCTGTAAGCCAAAATTAGTCCTAAGGAAAGAACATATCAAATTACAGTTCTCATGAATAGCAACCAACACTGAGTTACTGCTACACTATAGTATAGCTATTGTGCCATCAAAGCTGTTTCAATCGTTCTTGCCTTCATCCATTTCTACCTGCTGCATTCTCAACAAAAAGAGAAACACTTACCAAAGAACTATTCATAGTAGTGTCTGTTGTACAAGCAGCAAAATAACTTTCAGCATCTGTAAACTAAATACAGAAATAAGATTAAAAAATTCAGTTAAAAAGTAGTTTAATAAAGTAGTAATTGTCAAACAAAATTCCAGATGTCAATGTCCACAAGGGAGACTGACCATCCAGAATAAATCTAAAAGTGTAAAAGAAAAAATCCCACTACCAAGAAGTTTATTTTGATTTATAATAAACAAAGCAGAGAACAGGAGGACAGTATATGACAGAGCAAAAGTGTTGCATGGATTTCCAAAGCTGTAATCTTGTGCACTGCCTCATCCTCCCCGGAAGTGGTTGGTGGGTGTGAACGGTTCCTTCCGGTTAACAATCAAGTTCTAGGCCACTGTGCCACCAAAGCTATAATGATGATTGAAAAAATGGTAGCTAATGACTGAATTTGGTCCATTTTGGACTGCAAGATTTGGTTAAAAATTTCAATTTCTTCCTCTTTGGCTCCAGATGTAAGTGTATATTTGAATAACAGTCGTGTTAACACATTTTCCGTGTGTGTATGGATATCAGCTTATCATTCATAACATTGTATTCAGAGTAGAACTTGAATTAATTTTCTGACTATGAATGCAACAACTTTTCCTTGTTTTTCATTCCCTGAAAAGTATATCATATGATTACACGATTCAAAGTGGCCAAAGCTGGTCCATCTCATCTCACTAATGCCTAGTATGTCGATGTTCATGCATTCCATTTCATATTTAACCATTTCCAGTTTTCCAACATTCAAGCTATGTATATTCCATGTTACAATCAGTAAACATATTTGTTATTGTTTTTCCTCATTTCAATATACTTTCAATCTGAGATCTACCACTACACTACTATAAGTATCTTCATTCCCTTAGTGTTCATATGTTTTTCAAAGGCCTGCAGTTTAGGAAGTAGATGGTCCATCCTGCTTCCTAGTCTAGGAACACCAGAAGACTGTCTATTTGTGCTTTATTGACTATGCAAAGGCATTTGACTGTGTGGATCATAACAAGTTGTGGCTGACATTGAGAAAAATAGGTGTCTCAGAGCATTTAACTGTGCTCCTGCAGAACCTAGAGGCTGCTGTCCGAACAGAACAGGGGAATAGTACTGCATGGTTTAAAACTGAGAAGGGAGTGTATCGGGTTGTATTCTTTCTCCATAACTATTCAATATATATGCTGAGCAAATTAACCCAGAAGCTGGACTCTATGAAGAGGAATGTGGCATCAGAATAGGAGGGAATCACATCAATAACCTGTGTTATGCAGATGATACAACCTTGTATGCTGAAAGTGAGGAGGACTGAAGCACTTGTTACAGAAGATCAAGGAATGTAGCTTATGGTATGGACTGCATCTCAGTGTTAGAAAAACAAAGATTCTTATCACTGGACCGAAAGCAACATCATGATGGATGGAGAGAAGACTGAAACTGTCAAGAGCTTCATCTTGTTTGGATCCAAAATTAACACCCTTGGTACCAGCAGTCAGAAAATAAGGATACGCACTGCACTGGGAAAGTCTGCAGTTAGAGAACTCTTCAAATTATTGAGTAATGATGGCAGTGTGAGGACGAATATTCATCTGTCAAACTCTTTACAATCACTTGCTATGTATCTGAGAGCTGGACAATGAATAAGGATGACAGAAAAAGAATTGATGCCTTTGAGCTGTGGTGTTGGAGAAGAGCACTGAACATCCCAAGGATGGCCAAAAGGACAAACAGATATGTCTTGGACAGAGTGTACCCAGAGTGCTCTTAAGAGGCAAGAATGATGAGGTTTCACTTCACATATTTAGGACATGTTGCGAGCAGGGACTATTCCTTGGAGAGAGAGATATGATGCTGGAAAGGGAAGAAGGTCTGTGAAGGAGAGGAAGACCTTCAACCAGGTGGATTGACATGGTGACTGCCCCAATGGGCTGTCGTGTGTCAGGAAGTGTGAGGACGGCACAGGATAGAACAAGGTTCAGATCTTTTGTTCATGGGTTCACTATGGGCTGTACTAGACTTACTGCACCTAACAACAACAATAACCACAATGATTGAATATTTCATGCCACATACTTAACCAGGTAAGGCAGATATTACCATAACTTTATCAATGTATGACAAAGAACTAGATATAGGTTTTTGTACCTGATTTCTAAAAGTAAAGTGAACAACTGAAGTACTCTATGTTTTTCAGAATAGTCAAAGAAGCAGCACTGCAATCCCAGAGGTGCGCAGTTTGAATCCATCAGATGCTCTGCTGGAGAAGGAGGACAATCTCCTCCTGTACCAGTCAGATCCGATTTGACGGTACACACACAAAAAGTAATAAAAGAAAGCTGCTGTAAAACAGTCAAGTAAATAGATTACATCGGTGCTAGATTAACCACATTTACGAAAAAAAAGAAAGTATGTTAGAATCATGCATATTCTGATTAGATTGATCATAATCATGCATTGTTGTTATGTGTCATCGAATCACCTGAGACTCATAGTAACCCTATGTACAACAGCCCTAAACCCTACTCCATCCTGTGCCAGTCTCACTGTCTCCAACACACCTACCCCTATTACTCCAGTCACTAAATCAATCTACCTTATAGAGGGTCTTCCTCTCCTGTGCTGACCTTCCACCCTCCCAAGCATGATGTCCTTTTCCAAGGACTGGTCCCTAATTGCAACATGTCCAAAGTATGTCAGACAAAGCCTCAGAATCCTTGCTTTCAAGGAGCAGCCTGGTTTAACTCTCTCCAGGATGAACCTGTTTGTTTTCTTAGCAGTCCATGGTATATTCAATACTCTTCTCCAACACCACAGCTCAAAGGCATTAATTATCTTTCTATCCTCCCTAGTCATTGTCCAACTCACTGACAATGACTTTGCAAGTGATTGTAAAGACCATGACCTGTACCAGGTGCATCTTATCCAGAGTGACACCATTGCTCTTAAGTACTTTGGAGAGGTCCCTAACAGTAGACTTTCCTACTGCAATACATCTTTTAATTTCCTGGCTGCCGGTGCCAAGAGTGTTGACTGTGGAGCCAAGCAAACCAAAGCTGTGAACAATATCAATCTTTTCACCATCCATCCTGATGCTGCCAATTGGCCCAGTGGTGAGAATCTTTGTCGTCTTGATATTGAGCCTCAATCCATATTGAAGGCTGCAGTACTTGACCTTCTGTAGCAAGGGCTTAAGGTCCACCTCAGTTTCAGCAAACAGAGTTGTCTCAATTGTATAAGGAAGATTATTGACAAATCTTCCACCAACCCTAAGACCACACTTCTCCTCATACAGACCAGTCTCCCAGATAATCTGTTCTGCATATAGGTTGAAAAGGTATGGAGATAGGACAAATCTCTGGTGTACATCCTTCCCAATTTTGAACCATACAGTTTCCTTGCTCTGTTCTGACAACTGCCTCCTGGTCCAAGCACAGGTTTCACATTAGCACAATCAAGTGTTCTGGGATTCTCATTCTTCTCAGAGTCAGCGACAATTTGTTATGATCCACACAGTCAAATGCCTTTTTATAATCAATGAAATATAGATACACATTCCTCTGGTACTCCCTGCTTTCAGCCAAGATCCATCTAACATTAACTATAATATCCCTAGTACCACGGCCCCTTCTAAAGCCAGCCTGCACTTCTGGCAGTTCTCTATTGATGTCCTGTTCCAGTCATTTCTGGATAATAAACACTCCTGGCACCTGCAGTCAAGAAATCAAAAGACAAATTCCATTAGGAAAATCCTGTCAGGGACCTCTTCAAAGTACTGAACAGCAACAATGTCAGACTAGAGACTAAGATGCATCTCAGAGAGCTGAACAACCACCAAGAAGAGAGAATTCATGCCTTTGAGTGTGGCTCTAGAGAAGAATATGGAACATAAAAAGGACTACAAGAGAACAAACAGGTTTGACATAGAGAAGTTGAAATAAAGTTGCTCCTTTAAGGCAAGAATTTTGAAACTCCATCTGACATACTCTGGACCTGTTACCAGGAGGGACCCTGGAGACGGACATCATCTTGGAACGAAGGAAAGACAGCACAGGAGAGAAAAAGACCTTGAATAAGATGGATTGACACAGTAACTGGAGTAATGGTGTAATGTGTCAGAGGTAGGGAGATTGTCGCAAGATAGGGCAGGGTTAGGAGCTATTGTGCGTAGAGTTGCTATGAGTTGCAGGTAACCTGACAGCACATAACAACAACAGTAATCTTTATGGGAACAAATCATCAGGTCTTTTCCCCACAAAGCCACTGGTTAGAGAATCACTATTGAGCCATGGCAGCTCCTTAAGTAGATATAACTGTCTCTGTGAATGTTGTAAGCTTTAGGAGAGAGTTAATGACCCTACATGTGCAGTCTGAGTCAATCTGTATAGTGACAGACCAAGTGGCTGGGTGACAGGGAAAAGCAACACAAGCAGTCAATACACTCAGTTCTATCCTATTCTATTAGACTGAAGGAGGAAAGGCAGCTAGTCTGAAGTGCAGGAAGTCGTGTAGGCTGGTGAGCCTACTGATTCTCCCTTATAGCTTGGCCTTGGGTGGCCAAGGATGTCCAGACTTTCTCAGAATAGCTAGAGATAATGTCTAATCTAACTAATTCTGAGTGGTTTGGATCTGAGAGATTTTGTGACAGAGGTGGCTGAAGATGAGGAATGGAGGTGTGGAGGCAAAGGTTGGATCCATTTCTAGGTGTGAACTAGACTAATGTTTATACTCACCACACTGCTAGTGACAAAGGCGGGGGGTTTGCTCACCATGTCTTTATAGTGTGGATTCAGTTTGTAGGACTGTCTGCATAATGAGGAAACTGAACTTAACAGTCAATTTAAGTAGGAGAGCCAGGACTAAAACCAAGCATAATCAAATTCAACCTATGTCCTTTTCACAAAACAACTATAAATAAAGACTAGGGGAGAAAGAATGAGTTATTGAGAGAGGCAAATGACATCTTAATCATTTGCCTTTCTCAGTAAGTTCGTCATTTCTTTCTTACATTAAAATAAATTATTGTATGAAAATAATTT